CCCCTCCCCCTCAGTATCACTATAATCGCTTTCTGGGGTCAGATGTTTCCATAACAGCAATATCTGCCCTGCTTCATATGAAAGAGACAAGCTGGTTCTGTTCAGTGATGTTTTGTGCTAAATGGGCGCTGTCCCTTCAGGTGGTAAATACCGAAAGGTTCACAAAGTACGGCAACAAATTCTGGGTAGCATGCAGTACGAGATCTAGGTAAACATGGATTGCATAAGTCCGTACTGGAAAAAATATCTGGACCCGGAGAAGAGATTCAGGGCCTGCAGCGGGTGTGTCACATGACTAACGGACTGCAAGGCTGTGACTTAATGTTGGGGAAAGTCTTTACCTGCCGTCAGCTCGGAGCTGAGCTCCAAAGAGACGCTGACAATGCCAGGAACAGCGAGGGAGCGCGAGCCGGTGTTGAAGATGCCGGACAGAATAGTGAATTCCTCCGGCTCCACTGTCGTGAAAGTGAAGCACTGCTTCTTTCACAGGGACAACAGCATCCTTGTTGTGAGCACAATGCACAAAGGCGCATTTCTGAACGGACAAGATAAGAAGCCACAAATCATCCCGGAATACAATCCCACCAAATTATGCTCAATTACCTGATATTAAATAGAGTATTTGAAATAAGTATTCTCTTGTCTTGTTCTAAGCTAATGGCCAGGTTGGCCAAACTATGGCATATTATTTGATTATTAGACTGTGTTTTTTCCAAAATGCTATAAAGTTTAAATATTTTTAATACATTTATCTTGTATCATGCAGATTTGATACATTATCCGCGATGGTCAAGCAAGAAACAAGAAGTTACATTTAGTCAGGCGGCTCTATTTTAAGATTGCAATTTTAAAGTTTACCACTGGAGGGCGCCCCCAACTCCGACTTGTTTATATAGCTCTGTCTTGTATTACTGTGACATCTTCAGTTAAAACACTCTCGTGAATAAAAACCTGTTCATCAAAAATCTTAGATATATTTTTTTGAATCGTAGGCCATAATATGCAGAGAAGCAAACCTAACGCCTAATAATCACTGTACAGTAGAAATTCTTTACAGTTCTAAGTTACCATTCATCCACTGGAGGGTAGCATAGACTCAAACACAAACTCGACCTCCAGCCAGCTTCCATAGCTGATTACCTATTACATTGAGCTTGGAGCCGATCCCAAGTAGCACAAAGCACAAAGGAGAGGACAACCTGGACAGGATTCCAATCCGTCACAGTTAAACAAGAATCCTACGCTGGGTTTTACATTTTCCCAAAAACCTACCGATGCACGCTAATATCGGCAGTACGGATCAGACATTTAACATACAATTTGTCATGATTTCGTAAAAATTTTAACATATAAACTATACTTTTTGTTGCCTGTTTTATAATTTATTACGAGTTTCACTGGAAAACAGTAGGCTACTACGTTGCAGGACAGCTGCAGTAACACATTTAAACTGCCAAGGATTGAAATACATCCAGCAACATTGGGGCCAAACTCCACTGGCACGGGAAAAAGTCACAGGCAGAAGAAAAAGGGGAAAGCTACGGGAAGTTCATTCAATTCTACACGACGGCTAATTAAACGTTGATAGAGCTCTAGTGTAGGTGGTCGCATTTAGCCTGCTCACCTACTTTTCGTGATTTTCCTGTTTCCGTTCAAAATGCACGGGCATGCCTAGAAGGTGAATTTGTGACCAAATCTATGACAACTTCCAACTTAAAAAAAAAATTAAGGGTGTTTAACAACGTTTATTAATATTTGAGTTAGTTTGTAACTCAGATAGTTTGCGTGATCCAATAAAAAAAAAAAAACCTATACGTTTTGTGTAACTAACGAAACAGGCTACAAAATATATATGAAAGCATCAAAAAGTATTTAAATTTTGTCTTTTTATTTTGTTATTATCAGGACTTGGAACAAGAGAAAAAACGTAATTTTCCCACACAAGCAAATTATAATAATTATTGTTGTTGTTATTCTTGTTATGACTGCCAGAAATTGCTATATAGGTAGCTAACAATAATTGTTATGGCCACAGTAACAGCCTATTTTCCAAGAATTTAAATTTTGCAATTGACCTCTTATGTGGAGGTTCTGTTTGAATGATCGATCTTGTTAATAACGTTAGGTAAAACAATTCAAAAGTCAACGTAAAACAACTTTTTGAACATTATTAAAGCATCGTTTGTCAGACATCAATCCTGCAAATGCCGGGCAAGAGACCCTGTATTACAGACAGTAACTCACAATGCGGGACAATTTCATGCACGGGGGTAATGCGATATTATGCATGTGTACATGAGAATTTTAGGCAATGTTTTATTTAAATAAAGGATCGGGTATAAAAGCAACAGAGTTTTTCTTTGCCGAAAGTCAGACGAAGCAAATGCACACAGATGAACCCCCTCCCCAGCCTCGCCCTACCCCCACTAGCATGTGCCCGTGCGCTTATGGCTGGTGTTTTTTGTTGGAGCTGCCATGGGGGATTAGGGCGGGGCGTCGGAGGAGGAGAGCGCTGCCTTTCTCTGTGTCAGTCTTGTCCCGAAAGTGATGGGGGGGTGTCATCTCCGCGTCCATCACGCCGACGCCTCTCGGATGCTTGGGTCGCGCCGGATCGCGCATTATTCCGGGCCGAGTGAGAGAATCGGATCGGACTGACGCCGGACGCGGCCCCCATTGCGGCGTATCGCGAAATCGGCACCATTGTGCGCCTGGGGTCGGCGGAGAGGCTGCGCTGCCGGCGGCTCCATGCTGCAGAAAATTCGCCATTGTTTTGATGAATAGGACGACCCAGGAAGACTGAAATCAGAAATTTCCCCCCTCCCCTTTTTCAAACACATCGGCAAGGAGATAAGCAGTTCAATGTTTTCTCACACGGTATTTCTGCTTTGTATCCAGGTAAGATGGGATCGTATTTTGGGTGTGCATGCTCATTTAATCTCTGCCTTTTCAAGTCCGAGCTCCTCGAGTTCATTAAGAAATTTTCGAAGCGTTGAAATCCGCTTTAAAGCATTATTCCCGTGTAATGTAACCCATCTGCGGTATTTCTTCTGAAAAAATAGGTCATTCGGCGTGGTTCCCTTAATGTCTCTGTGATGATACTGAGGTCTGCTTTCACCGATCTATCGAATATATCCGGTTATTATTATTATTGCATACAGCGGTGTAAATGTAAAAGTGTAGCGATGCACAGAGCATTATTATTATCAAACATTGTTCGTGTTACTTTGTCCGCGGGTGTCTTCGGTAGTACCTGGAAGTCCTTGCAAGCCGTCGATGGAGACTGTTTTTCCGCAAAGGAAACAATAAACCTTTTAAATGCCACATATAACAGTCTGTTAATTGGTTTTTGTTTGTGGACTTGTGTGCTGCATAGATCTTAGAAGAAGAAGGTACTACAACTATTTTAAAAGCTTGATTTCACCTTCCTTACAGTTTTGTGCAGCGTTACCAACTATTAGAATAATGTACCCAAAATGTATTAATATGGTGCATGTAATTCCATGTGTATAATATCGTAATAATAGATTTTTTAAAAATCTGTTTCTTCTGATCACTATCCAAAGGTTTCATTGAATCTTAAACACGCGGATCGCTCAGATATACATGATACAGGTCACCAAAACCATTTTTAGCTGAATGTCCATCATTAAAATGGCATACTTTTAAAATGGTAACATGATGGTTTAATATTATAAAAAAAATATATATTTATCCACTGAATTGGTCAGGAACATTATGCTGACGGACTGAAGGTGGCATCCGATTCCCTGGGTCTCTTAAATTACAGTGGAACCATAACCCTGCAGTTACACACCACCTCCTGCTGTGAGAGGTGTTACAGCTGTGGGGGGTGATTGTTAGCCATTGCTCTGACATTACAGTGCTTTAGACCTTAGTCCTAAGGTGCAATACTGCTTAGTTCAAAGCAAAGATATATATATATATATATATATCTTCAGCATGCATTCAGGGTTCAAAGAAATCAGAGGTTTACCGTGTATGTGTGTGTGTCTGTATCCACTGCCCTCATTGTAATGACAAAGCAGATCTGTGTCTGTAAGTCTATAAGTACTAATTATCAGTATTGCAAGCAGGACTAGAACGTTCATTGAAAGCTGGAACCCAAGACTGAGCCTGTACTCCACTAGCATGGAACGTATCTCCCCGTTTCTCGGCTTTTTATGTAAACTGGTCCCACGCTAGTTTCTGTCTATGCCTTTGAGTTCTGCAAACCTTTTGAATCTGAATGCAGCAAAGGTGTGACGATCATGTAGGCGACATAATGCTGCTTTGTACAGAAGTGCCAGCATATCTTTGAATTAATATCCGTATAATTGAATGGAAATCCAAGAATTTTGTTTGCCTTTGACCAAGTCATCACAGTGTTATGAAGGACTTGGAAGTATAGATGCACATTTCTGGATCACTAAAGTTAAAGTTACCACTTTTGTCCTCTAGCAGTTTCCTGAGTAAATCCATTACCTTTGTTGAATGTAATTTGCCAGATGTGCACAAGCTGCATACATTTTGCAGGAACATCGATATAGACTTAAGTCTGATGCCAGCAGATATTACCCTGTCTAAGGAAATATAGATACTAATGGCCAATATCATTGGATCAATATCATGGGAGCTTCTAACAGTCTGCAGAACCTTACTAGACAGACATTTAAAACCCTAAAATATTCAGATAGAATGGAAATATATCTGTGTGTAGATGGGCCATGTGACCGTATCCCATCCAGGACACCCATTTCCTTGCCTCCACTTCCTGACTGTGACCTTGTACTGGATAAGCAGTTAGGAGGTGGACGGATGTCCAGTCGGTCACTCTTCCTGCTTCCCCAGTTGCGGTTGGTACTTCCATGCGAGATGGTTCTGAAAGAACACCACACGCAGCCCAGCTCTCTGTGTGCGGTAAAGCTTTGCAAAACCCATTTTGGGTGCCTCTGGATTTATGATGATTATCCAGTGCAGTGAACGCCATTATTCAGCTGATGAGGCTTCTGCCTCTTCATCATCGAAATGCTTTGCACATCCCATTGTGCTCCACTCCAAGGTGACGTTCGATTTTTGGGTTTTGCTTTTTTGCAGATCTGTTTTTTTTTTTATAGGCAATTTTTAGAAACGTGTGGTACCCGTTCCTGGTGAGGCACCTTGAGATGATTGATCTGTTTTTTGGGTTTAAATAAATTTGCCCGTTCCTCTGGGAACACACAGATGGCACCTCACCACCTTCTGAAATTTCCCCACCGCTGGAGTTTTGGGCAGTTGATCAGTCAGCAATGCGACTAATGGTATGTCCTCTGGCTGGCGTGCCGTTCATCCTCCTCATCCTCCTCATCCTCCTCCTATCTCTGTTACGTTGGAATACCTAAGCTTAAATGTGACTAACTAGCATCGTACGTGACCAATTTTCAAATCAGACGTATGCTGGCAGTAAGATCAATACAAAGTATAGGCTGATGATTCTGTTGAGTCCTTGGATCAGGCTCATGGCCAGGAATATTTTGTGGGGGGCCGTCAACCCTACTGATAGGTCTCTCTCTAGAATTCGCCAGCGGGGAGGGGGTCTCCCTCTGTATTTAGCAGACATGGCGAAGTCTCTCTCGGAAGATTATGCAGCCTGGGGGGTATTCCCCTTTGTAGATTTCGCTGACTGAGTGACTAGCAAATCTCAAGGGGGGCTCAAAGTTAAATATTTCATACCTGCCTATGTACCTAATAGGTAACAAAAAATATTGGGGGAGGTAGGATCAAACCCGTTATTTTACTACGCGGCTCCGTGCCTGGTTTGGATTGTAATTAGTCACGTCCCTGTATCTCACAGCTCAGAATGTGCTGTAATTTAAACGCTGTCTTCCCTCTGGGTTCTTGTGAGCTCCTGTTCCTGAGGCCGCTCCTGTTCCTGAGGCCGCTCCTGTTCCGACGCTGATGTGATCTTCCGGATCTGTTATTCCAGGCATGGAAGCTGCCTCAGTAGGCTGGTCACTTACCCTGCATGGTATAAGGCAGCCGTGCTCCGTCTGCCTCGTCGGGGATCATTATTTCTCCCAGTGCCTGACAGTCCTTGGCGAGGCTGGGAGCCGTTGGGATGCAGTGGGGGCCAAGCGGGCGGAGGGAGAGCTGCCAGACCCTACCACTGTGTGTGTGTTTTTTTCTTTTTTAACACTGTGTTGTACTCGATCTCGCTTCATGCCAAATTTGGCAGGACGGCAAAATGGGGGTTCAATAGATGGGCAAATGTGGGTTACGGAGAAGGTCAGCGTGGTTGGCCAGTGCACGCTCCCAGAATCCTTTGCACTGAAGCAAAGGATGGACAGCAGGTTAATGGAGATGCTGCAGGACCATACTAAGGGCTAACGTTCCTCAAGGCTCATCTTTGTAACCATGACAATACAATCGAACTTGGCTTTCCTTCGAAAGCTTTGGTAGTTAAAGCTTGCACTTAGACATCTTCCAGGTTCAGTACGGGATCTGTGGAGGTTTGACCCCAAAATGTTACGAGCTACAGTCAGTTAAATGTTGGAGATTGAAGATGATCCAGAGTTTTGTGGTATGAGCTGGATGGAGCTAAGAGAGTGTGGCTGAAGGCAGCATCTCTGTCAGATTTAGCGACATGAGTCTGGGATAAAGCAGGATAAATCTGATAGCATTATAGGCAAATCAGCACAGGAAAGTGAAAGCTAAGCATGTTTTGAGATGGCATGTTGTTCCAGGGGTTTGCTGACAGTACTGCTGAAAATGTACATATTTATGCATACATTTTTGCCCACTGACTCCCCCCCCCCCCCCCAAAAAAAAAACTAGCTAGTTTTTATTTTATACATAATTTTTTGAACAGCCTCACATCACATGCTAATTTATTTAAAACAAAAAGACAAAAAAACAGAGTCCCTGCTTCCTCTAAAAACAAAAGTCACATGCAGGGACTTCGGAATGTTCTCAATGACGGGCAAACGTCTGTGGGGCCGTCCGTATTCCTAACCCCCGCCTACAGTCCCGCATCATTTTTCTTAGGCTCTGCCTCGGTCGCCTAGGCGATGCCCTGTAAACACCCCGTTGCCCCCACCCCCGAGTGGTTCGTCGAGCACTTGGTTGCTAACTAACTTGAATGATGCCGCAAAATTGCAGTTTTGGATGGTCTGCAATCAGTCTTTATTCCTTCCTGCAAGAGCCACATTTAAGAAGTAAATCGTTACAGTTCACACACACACACACACACACACGAGGGGGGAGGGCTCTTTCATCCAGCAGTCCAGTGTTGAATAAGAACTTTTATTACTTAGGGTTCTGCTTTTGTCTGTTTACCCTGAAAGGGGCTGGGGGTAGATGCAGAAATCTGCTCAGTGTTGGCACATCAATGTGAGACTCTGACTGGGTTGTGGGACTTCATTCTAGCTTTTAGAAAGGGTGTTCAGAATGTAATACTTTGCATTAAAATTAAAATTCAGTTTAAATGAATGAAAAACTACCTCTTCAGTATTTATTTGGGATAAAATTGAACTGCATTAGTTGTTCAGCGCGCAGTATTCTAGCCTTTCTGGTTGTTCATGTTGTAACATCAAAGGGTTACAAATCTGTGGTTAACATAGTAATATTTGTGTAAGACGTACCTGCATATTCCTTTAGGAAAGGCAGCCTGAAAATGTCATGGGTGTGATGAATGGCTATGACCCACAGAAGCTCTAGGAGCAGGTTTTTGGGCTAATTTAATCATTATCAATTCTGCTTGAGACCCACTCGACTGCAGTATCCTCTCCAAGTAGCCTGACGCGTGATGTTTACCCCTCCAGAACACTGCTTTCCGTATCAGCTGCTGTCTGTTTAGCACACAGGTCCTAAAATAACATGAAATGATATCATAAATTTGTATGGACTGCTGATTGGATGAC